ATTACGCAGTAACAAAGCACTGCTACTGCCTGTGTTTAAAGTGGGACCTTGGGTGCTGAAGAGTTTTTCTCAGTATTTCTCCTCCACCCTCAGGTTTTAGCAATTCCTGCATTGCTATCCCACAGATGAGGTCTATTTCAATATTCTTCTCCCCACCAGCAAACTCTTGTTTCCGCATTCCTTAGCGGTGGGCTTCTGCTGGGAGTAGGGCAGGCTCTTTGTTGTCGTCACAGCCTCAGGCTTAGGCAGGGTTTGGGTTCTTGGGTCTCAGGGACAAAGCTTTTCCAGTGTCCTTGCCTCTTCCTTCCTTGGCAGCCAAGCTCTGCCTTGTATCTGTGGTTAGTTTGGAGGAAGAGAGTTTGTGTCCCTCCCCGGTGGTGTAACTCTGGTATCATGATAGGATCGTAGGCCCAAAATGGTTTCCATCCTGTCCCCAACCATGAGAAAGAGGAGTTTTACTTCTTCCTCTTCCCCAGAAGTAATAGATTTTTCCCTTGGATCTGGGAACAGAAGAAGGGTTTGCTACTGCTCCTGCAGTGACTTAAGGCATTTTTACATTTGTAAGGGAAAGGTCTGGGGAAGGTGACGGGGCTTCCTGAATGTCCCCTAGCAGAGGAAGATCATCCCCCGCACTGTGCCAAGGAAGTGGACCTTTTCCAGTCTCCTGTGCTGCACCCAATCTTCCTTCTGAGCATTTGATGGAGGTCCATAGAAAAGAGCTTTTGATGAGTTTGAACTCTCATTTTTGTATCTGGGCATCCCAGCTATTCCAACTGATATGATTACTCCGCTCTTAAGAATTTATTAAAATATTAACTGATTTCTTGTTACCTGTTTGTATGGTGATCACCTCTCTCTCCTGTGTTCTGCCAAAGGTGAAACAGATGATCCATCTCTCCTCAAAGGGGCTTTGTCACCTTCTGGAATTTAGTTCCCTGATGTACTCAAGAAGTTATGAATTTGAGGAGTATCTGTATTTTTCTCATTGCTAGGAACCATGTTCTCTTTGGAAACAAAATCTTTTAAAATCATACTTTAGAAACAGCTGGTTTTTCTGCCCAAGACCTTAGCTGGAAAGGGATGCCGAAACTTAAGTTACTTCTAAAACTGTCATAACTGCTTCATCAAACACACTTTCTTTGGGTCACAGTGTGAAATATTTCTGGCAGAATATTAAAGAGTTCATTTCATAAGATTCTTTCCTCTGTGATGTCATCTTGGGTTGGAACTTTATCCTACACTGATGGACTCCACTCCTGAGTGGGAAGGCAAGGAAATCGGGTATTATTACTGACTTCCCTTAAACAGTTGTGCAAGGTCAGGGTTGGGAAGACCATAGAAGGTTATGTGATCTGTACAACTACCAGCTGACTGGTGACTCAAGTATCATGAACAAGCCATCCATTAATTTGTGCTAGAGCATTTTCAGTGTTGGCGATTTTATTATTTTTAAAGCTAGCTTATTTTATCTTCTTTTGTTTGACAGGTCCATTGCTCTTTATAGTGAACTGAAACTTTCCCTTTTATAGTCAATTCTTAGCTACCTGCTCTGATTCCTCAGTCTGGCAGGAGACAGCCTGGCATCTGTACCTACCCCCCAATAGAGGTGAGCTGTGACCTCTCAAAAGTTGTTTTGTGGTGATCACCGTGCTTCTCCTTACTTGATTTTGTTCTGCCTTTCCTTCAAACCCAGTCTCTATCCAACCATGAACCCTGACTAAAGTAATCACAATTTTGAGGCTACCTTTGGTCCTAAGAACTTGGTATTCATAAACAGACTTCCCAGATTTTAAATCTTAGCATTCCTAATGGTTTGCAGTTTGAATTTGCTTTCTGGTTCTCTGTGCTTGGTAAAGAATCCCTGCTCGAGTTCTAGGCCTTGAGAAGTCTGGCTTCATGATAATCCATCAGTGGTTCCCTAGAGAAAGGAGGACTTGGGAATCTCTACCCTTTACACTTTACCAGGCAAGTTAATTCACACTTCCACTTCCCTAGTCCCTTCACATGCTTGAAGATGAACTCTGTTCATTCAAAGTCATCTCCTCTTTACACTAAACACTCCTAGTATCTCCTCATATGTTTCCTTTGGGAGTTTTAAGGAAAAGAAAATGTGTTGAGCCAATCGTAGATAGCACCCGCATTTTTATATTCCCAAACTGGTTTTTCTGCTGTGCTTTCTAAATTTGGGATGGATGAAGATTCTAATCCTTATAAACCTCACACATAATGTACTGTCTTCACATTAAGGCATTAAGACAGTTTTTATAAAAAAATTTTTTGTGACAGAGCTTTGCTCTTGTTGCCCAGGCTGGAGTACAATGGTGCGATCTCGGCTCACTGCAACCTCCACCCCCAGGGTTCAGGCGATTCTCCTGCCTCAGCTTCCTGAGTAGCTAGGATTACAGGCATGTGCCACCATGCCCAGCTAATTTTGTATTTTTAGTAGAGTTGGGGTTTTCTCCATGTTGTTCAGGTTGGTCTTGAACTGCCCTCCTTGGCCTCCCAAAGTGCTGGGATTACAGGCATGAGCCACAACACCTGGCCTTAAGACAGTGTTGTTGTTTTTTTTAAGAAAAATATATGCATGGATTTAGGTTGAAGAATCAGATATTTCTATAGTTAACTAATAAAAACAGCAGCCTTCCACTTATTTTCTCTTTTCTTTCCTTCCCAGAAGCAACCACAATATTTAGCTAATTATTTAATTATTTTGATATTTACCCAATGTTTCTTTTTCTTTCTTTCTTTTTTTTTTTTTTTTGAGATGGAGTCTCCCTCTGTCACCGAAACTGGAGTGCAGCGGTGTGATCTTGGCTTACTGCAACCTCTGCCTCCTGGGTTCAAGTGATTCTCCTTCCTCAGCCTCCTGAGTAGCTGGGATTTTATGGGTGTGCCACCACGCCCGGCTAGTTTTTGTAGACAGAGTTTCACCATCTTGGCCAGGCTGGTCTCGAGCTCCTGACCTCAAGTGATCTGCCTGCCTTGGCCTCCCAAAGGGCTGGGATTACAGGTGTGAGCCACCACACCTGGCCTATTTACTTAGTGTTTCTAAGTAACACGTTTACATACTATTTTTTTTTTATATTCAGTGTTTGATTGTAACTGTGTGACTATTATTACAAAATAAAACATGTAGTACACTATCATTTTTCCCCTTACCTGTACAGTTTTTTGTTTCTTTCCCAGGTAACAATTGCCTTCTTGTTTGATTACTTTTCCATGGACCTATCAGTCATTCGGTCTTTGTCGATTGTTTAAACCTCCTCTGAAGATGTTGAAATAAGGCAGGCATCCGGCTCTCTTGATGCTGTGGAAGGGATCTCTCCCAGAGCCTCCAACTTACTTCCTTGTGTGATGATTGTCCTCTACCTTAGTGTGAGTGGCAGCCTGGGATGTCACTTCCCCAGCATTTTGAGAATTTTTTTTTTCTTTTTTTTCTTCCATTGACATCTGTTTCTTGCATGCTATTTCACCTGTTTTATTAGTTTATTCTCTTGTTTTGGTTGATCATACTGTCCTATTTCTTCCTGAGAAGAGGTCCGTGGGAGAAGGTGTGAAATGTTGGCGAGCGCAGTGCCTCACGCCTGTAATCCCAGCACTTTGGGAGGCTGAGGCGGGCGGATCCAGGGGTCAGGAGATCGAGACCATCCTGGTGAACATGGTGAAACCCCAATTCTACTAAAAGTACAAAAACTAGCTGGGTGTGGTGGCGTGTAGCCCCTGTAGTCCTAGCTACTTGGGAGGCTGAGGCAGGAGAATCGCTTGAACCTGGGAGGTGGAGGTTGCAGTCAGCCGAGGTTGTGCCACTGCACTCCAGCCTGACGACAAAGCAAGACTCCATCTCAAAAAAAAAAAAAAAGAAGAAAAAAGAAAAAGTCTTCATTCTACCCTAAATTTAAGCAATAGTTTAGCTGACTGGAAACTACTAAAATGGACATCCATTTTTCTCAGAATTTTGAAGGCATTTTGCCATTGCCTTTTTAAAAACAACTTTTAATTTTGAAATAATTTTGTTTATAGAACATGTCAAAGATAGTTCAGAGTTCTGTATAACTTTTCCCTGACTTCCCCTCATGCTGTAATTTTTCATAACTATGGTACATTTGTCACCAATAAGAAATTCATGCTGCTAGCTAAACTGTAGTCTAATCATATTTCTCTTTAGTCATATTTCGCCGTATTTCTCTAACATCCTTTGTCTACTCTAGGATCAAATCCAGGATACCAAAGTTGTAATTAAGCCATTACGATTTGTTAGTCTCCTCCAATCTGTGACAGTTGCTCAAGGTTTTTCTTACTTTTAATAACTTTTGAAGAGTGCTGGTCAGTATTTTGTAGAATGTCCCTTCAGACGGTTTGTCTAATGTTTTCTTATGTTAAGACTTGGGTTATGGATCTTAGGGAATAATACTACAGAGGTAAAGGTGTTCTCATTGCATCCTAGTAGGGCAGCTGTTCCCAACCTTTTTGGCACCAGAGACCAGTTTCATGGAAGACAGTTTTTCCGTGGACTGATGGGTCGGTGGGGGATTAGATGCTTATAAGGAAGGAGCAACCTGATTCCTCGCATGTGCAGTTCACAATAAGTTTCTCTCTCTTAGGAGAATCTGATGCCACTGGTGATCTGACAGGAGGCAGAGCCCAGGCTGCATTGCTCACGCACCTGCCGCTCACCTCCTGCTGTGCGGTCTGGCTCCTAACAGGACCAGTTCTGGTTCCTGACCCGGGAGTTAGGGACCCCTGTGTTAGGGGAGTGCATTATACCAACATAACGTGTAATTGGTGACGTTAACTGTGATTGCTTCGTTCAGGTGGTATGTGCTAGGTTTTCCCACTGTGAAGCTGCTCATTTTCCTTGCCTGCTAAGTTTTATTACTCTCCTGCTTACTTCCATTCTACCAATTCTTACAGGTTAATGCCTTTCAAGATCAGTGCTTTTACTCTCATTTTAATGGTGTTTCTGGAGGAAATGAAATTAGATATGTGTGTTCACTCTGTTATTCTGGAGTTTGTCTTCCCGCTTTCTTTTCTTTTTCTTTTTGTTATTTAATTTTTATTTCATAATCATAAACTTAACTCTGCAGTCCAGCTAGGCATGGCAGGGAACAAGGAAAACATGGAACCCAAAGGGAACTGCAGCGGGCACACAAAGATTGTAGGTTACTGCGAGCAAGTGGGGTGGAGGGCGCTCTCCTGAGCTGCAGAACGAATGGTCTGGTGGTTAAGATAAAAAACTAGTTGAGTTGTCCACAGTCAGCAATGGTGACCTTCCTGCCAGTTTTGCCATTCCTGGACCCAAAGCGCTCCATGACCTCCACAGTATTCATGCCTTCTTTCACCTTGCCAAAGGCCACATGCTTGCCATCCAGCCACTCGGTCTTGGCAGTGCACATGAAAAACTGGGAACCGTTTGTGTTGGGTCCAGCGTTTGCCATGGACAAGATGCCAGGACCTGTATGCTTTAGGATGAAGTTCTCGTCATCACATTTCTCCCCGTACATGGACTCGCCACCAGTGCCATTATGGTGTGTGAAGTCACCACCCTGACACATACACCCTGGAATAATTCTGTGAAAGCAGGAACCCTTACAACCAAGTCCTTTCTCTCCAGTACTCAGAGCATGAAAGCTTCCTGCTGTCTTTGGACACTTGTCTGCAAACAGCTCGAAGGAGACGCAGCCCAAGAGCTCGCCCTTGACAGCAATGTCGAAGAACACGGTGGGGTTGACCATGGCTGGTACTAGAGGGCCCCAGGTGGCGGCGGCATCTGCAAAGCCCCCTCTTTCTCTTTTACTGTTTTTTCTTTTTGCCCTTTCTCCCTTCTAAATTAATGGAAGGTCAAATCCTGAACATGTAGACCATTTTAAGGACTTGGCCTTTAACTTGGAATAAGAAGGGCTGCTGAGTGTAGCCTGCAGAGGATCCAAAGTGGAATCAAGGGATTAGTTAGGAGACCATGGAAATAAGCCAAGACTGAACGTGGACCAAGCCCGTGGCAGCATTTTGAAGCTGGAAGGGATTATGCAAATATCAGGTATCATTATTATTTGGTGGAAACATCTTAATTACTGGGGACAGTTGAGTACAGTGGAAATATGTTAAAAACAAGGATTAGTTGTAACACGTGACAACATAGAGAGATGTAAAAACAGTGCTTGGTGGAAAAGTAGCAAACAAATGAGATATACATAGCATGTAAGTATATTACAAATAAATGCCCAGAGATTGAGAGCACAGTTCTCAAAGAGTATTTGAATACACTTACAAACAAATACAAAGAACTGTGTTAAACGCCTTAAAATATTTGCCTATGGGGAGGAGAGTAGTGGTGGGATAATAGGTGGAAAAGGAATAAACAAATCAACAGATAAATAACCAGAGGGAGGGGAAAGCTTTAGAATGTGAAGAAAGCTAAAGTCAATCTTAAGTATATATTGTTTGGGGCAATTTATCTAACTTTTTTATGCTCTAGTTTCCACTCCTGTAAAATGGGGTAGTAGCACCTATTTACCATGCTTACCACAAGAATTGAGGGAGGCAATGTGTGAAGTGCTTTCTTTCCCCTTTACCTCCACGGGGTAACACTGTTGCTTTAAGGAAAGTCTGTGCTGAGTTCCATTCTTGTGAGATGGGAACAGGGGAACTGTGCTGCCTTATCCTATGTTTTTAATTCATTTTTCCCTTCTCTTCATGCAGGGCTTACCACCCAAAAGATGGAAGGCAGAAGATACCCACCTGAGTTGCCCAGAGCCCACGGTGTTTGCCTTCTCACCACTCCGGCGTCCATCATTGAACTCTTTGAGAAAGATGTGGATCTCCAGTTTTGAACAATCCAAGAGAGAAGCCCAGGCACTAAGGTGGCTGGTTGATAGGAATCAAAATTTTTCATCTCAAGAGTTTTGGGCCTTAGTATTCAAGGACTGATTTCAAAAGGATCAGAATGACACGACGTAGAGCCTTCTTGAGGTTTATTATCTAGGTTGCCTTAATATTTGAACATAATAGCCTTTCTGTTGACTATCCATTAGGATAAGAATTAGTTGCTGCAGTACTCATAATGAGCCCTCTCAAAGAATAGATGTAAATTACCCTTAGGGGTTGCCTCTATATATTTTATACTAAACAAGGAAATATTTCTTATGGACATTGGTTATCTTCCATGTCCGTGTCTGTGGACCCACATACTTACTGCCTTTTGTGGAAATTCACCTAGAGTGAGCACTTCCCTTGTGCGATGGAGGCTCAGGATCTAGCTGTAGATTCTTGATACTTACCTCACTCTCAACAGCTCATTGGTATTTGGCAAGCCCAGTGTCCTGCAGCCGAGCATGAACATGAAATACATTAGAACTTGGCAATGAGAGATCCCATCTGTTGGTTTCCAGGGATGTAAGTGAGTAATAAAAGCTGTTTCAAGTTTATCCGCTGTCTGCTCTTCAAGTGAAAAGAACGTATGTGTCTCTCTTCTCTCCATGCCCTGAGCCACCTCTCTAACCTTCTTTAGTTACACCTTGTCCTCTCATCTCTCATTTCCCCTTCCAAGTAGAATGTCTTGTAAAGACGCAATAACCCCTGTGTGTTTTGATTAGTGAGATGTTACCACTTACTTCTTCTACTGCTGGGCAGAATAGTATCAGGAATGGCTGTGATTCCGATTCAGTCTGGACAGCCCGGTCATTTTGAGCAGCGTGAGAGTAGAAGTGAATCCCCACAGGAGCTCCAGTTGTGCTGAAGTTGTTTGTCTTTTTGTAGGATGATGTGCAGCCTGTCTTGGTGGCAGCCACAGGCATTCAGTGTCTGAGCACTTCCTGTCATTTCTGATCCTGCCACAGAGAAGGTTCAGCTGTCCTGTCTGGGACATCTACTGGAGCACCTCAGAAGACAAGGAGGAAAATACCGGCTCACGTTTTCTTTCTGTGTGAGGGAGGGGAGGCTCGTAGATGATACCAAAAGCCTGTTGCCACTCTTATGTCATGGTTTCCATTTTTCATCATGGAAAGCCGCAAGCCTCAGAAGGTAGTCGGAAGACAGGAAGAGTCTGTGATGCTCATGTCTGTGTCATGGCATACGGGGGAATTGATGGGTTCTTCCTTAGCATCAGTCCCTTATTTTATTGAAGGCCACTGGTGTGCTTGGCAGTGACCATTGTCTTCATTAGGTAGCTCTGGCTGGGCTTTGTCAGCCAGTATGTGAGAAAGGAGAACCACAACCAGTACCTCATTATAGAAGCCAGAAGGGTCACATTGGGTTGGAGAAGGTGTCTGTAACCGGATTCTTCCCAATCCCAGCTAAGTACTATATGATCTTGGACAAATCTCTCAATCTCCATAGGCCTTAGTTTTTGTATCTAAAAAGAAGTGATTGGGCTGGTCTTGGAAGGTTTTTTCTTTTTTTCCCTATATAACATTCTTAATTGTTCATCAACATTTAAGAAATTTAATTTTGTAGATGTTTTTACTAATGAGGGTAACAAACTGTTTTGGAACTGCTGTGTATTATTCAGGGGAAGCACTGTCTTTGGAGGAAGGAGCATATTTAATGGGTAGTATTGAGGATGAAAGGGAATTTCTCTCTCTGCTATTTTATTTGATAATATTAAAGAAATAAAGACTGGAAAGGGGGATTGCTTGTTAAAGGTCAGATTTTAAATTGCGTATAAAATGAAGTGGGTTTTTTTTTTTTTTTTTTAACCTGCAGTAGAAAGCCTGAGAGGTGACTTATACCTCTGGTAAGCATTATCATGATTAATTTCAGTTCTCCATAAATACCTTCAGCAGATACCTAGTGCTTGTGTGCTATGCGTATGTCTTAAACCTCAACTTTTCATGCAATCTCATTCTATCTTAGTTCTTCATCAAGTCCATGGGTAAAATCTTCTCTAGGCATTTCTGAAATACGTATCCCTGAACAAATTTAGTGAAATAAAATAATTAATCTGTGTTGATCCCATTTGCCATATATCTTTCACTTTACCTCCCTGTCTCTGTTTGTGAAATAATTTAACAAAGCAACCTGTCTCACAGGGCTGTTGTGAAGAATGCCTCATGTCTGTGAAGGAGTTTGTATATTGCCACATTTTGCTTAGTGCTTTAGTAAAGTATATTTTACTTGGATTGCTTTCAAGGAGTATTTGGATTGTTTTCAAAGAGTATTTTTTTTTTTTTTTTTTGAGATGGAGTCTTGCTCTGTCACCTAGGCTGGAGTGCAGTGGCACGGTCTTAGCTCATTGCAACCTCTGCCTCCCAGGTTCCAGCGATTCTTCTGCCTCAGCCTCTCGAGTAGCTGGGATTACAGGTGCCCACCACCATGCCCGGCCAACTTCTTGTATTTTTTTTAGTAGAGATGGGGTTTCAGCATTTTGGCCGGTCTGGTCTTGAACTCTTGTCCCTAAGTGATCCACCCACCTCAGCCTTCCAACGTGCTAGGATTACAGGCATGAGCCACTGCGCCTGGCCATTCAAGGACTGATTTTTTTAAAGCAATATGACAGAGTGGTCAGAAGCCTTTTCAGAAATGTTGGAGAAAATGGTCACTAATGCTAGTTAATAGTCTTCACCTAAAAATGGATGCAACTTTGATCCTTGATCAGATAGCAAATATATTTTGGAACCTGAATGCTGACTGGCTTCTTTGTTGCTGTTAAGGACTAGAGTCTAGTAACTAGAATATCAGTTGGGATCATTATCATTATTAGTGATAGATTGGAACATATAGTGTTCTATGTATTACTCAGAAATAAAAGAGGCGAAAATGAGCATCATTCCTTCGGCCACACCAATGTGTAATATATTACAAATAGAAGAACCTGCTCCATATCTAACAAAGACTGTAGGAATCCAAGCACAGTGCTGACCTGAGCTTGGAATGCCCAGTAAAATGTGCATTTAAAAAAATCATTAATAGGATATAATTCCTGCTAAAGATAATATTTCATTAGGAGAATTCAGCTGTCTTAGTCTGTTTGGGCTGCTATAAACAGAATATGATAGACTGGGTGGCTTATAAGCAACAGAAGTTGATTGCTCACAGTTCTAGGGGCTGGGGAGTACAAGATCAGAGCACCAGCATATTTGGTGTCTGGGAGAGTCCACTTCCTGGCTCATAGGTGGCTATCTTCTTGCTGTGTCCTTACATGGCAGAAGGGGTGACAGAGCTCTCGGAAGTCACCACCCTTATGACATCACTCTCCCAAGCCTCCTCCTCCTAATGCTGTTACATTGGGGGTTAGAATTTTAACACGAATGCCGGGAAACACAGAATTCAGTCTATAGCATCGTTATAGAGTTAATTTTCAGTGAATTATGTTGATTACCCTGAAAGCAAGATGAGTACAATTTTGCATAAGTGACATATGTTTTCCTTGGAGTCTTCAAAGTATACTACTTAGAAATTAATAGACCAGGAATAGTGGTGGTTAGTTTGTTTCAAGTCACTTTGCAATCCTGAATATTTTACAAATAATTTTCTTTAGGAAATTTCTTTTAATTTTTATTGTTAGTGGTCATATCTTTACTGCATAATTCTAATCTCAATATATATCTTGTCTTCTGATTGCAGACATAAAAATGCTTGAAAAACTCGGGATATAGAGTTATGACTCTAAGAAATATCTAGTTTTAGTTGTCACTCTGCAACATACTGTCTTTATTATCTTGGTTGAGTTATTTGGCCTTTCTAAGACTCAGTTTGCTCATCTGTAAAATGGACGTTATAATATCCAGCCTCCTTGTGAGGTTATTGTGATGATTAAGCTAGTGTTCACTTAGCTCAGTAGATGCTGGCTGTGGTGGTTACAGCTATCTGTAGTCATTACCCTTTTGTTTTTGAAGAGCTTGATTGAGACTTGTCTGGAAAACGGGAAATCATTGATGATAGTGCCAGGGGTGGTACACATTTACTGTGTTACAAAATAGCCATTGTACTAGGTGCCATTGCTAATAGGAAGAAGACCTAGGAGAGAGAGGTGTGAAGGCTTCTGGGTAGGGCTTTTTGATACTATGATGGTGTTAAAACCAAGGACTGGGGAATGCTTAAATTATTCTCTAACTCTTCCTGCCCTCCATGGGATTTCTGATGGCGTTCTGCACAAAGCTCTCAATAGGATAATGAGACTCAAACAGCCTCTTTATGGTAGCTTTGCAAACCACATAAATGGAGTACACTGATTTCTTGTAAAAGCTGGATGTGAGCGTATTATTTAGAATTGAAGTCTAACAAGGAGAGGGTCTTTTAGTGCCTTTCTGTTCCTAATTCTGAATCTTGAGACTAGTGTATTCAATGTGCTTACGATAAGAAAGAGGAGAGGAAAATGACTAGATCTATAGGTCTTGACCCTGCTTGCTCATACTGAAGATCAACTGAAGAAGAAGAAGAGGAGACTGATCAGCCTTTCTCCTAGGAGACAAGCCCTCTCTTGCTCTCCGTATGATATGGGTGCAGGAATATGGAGCACAATGCGTGAGAGCTTACTTTAAAGTCATATTAACCTTTCTCACTAGTAAAATGTGGTTCCGTCAATATGCTGGGATTCAACCCATTGAATTAGCCACCCCATTGGTGCTGGTAGTAGGCCCAATTAAGGAGACCAGCAAGGGGCAGAGGCGTCGGACGAGAAGTGACTCTTTAGGATTATTGTCCTCTCAACTCACTGGGCTTATCAGGCAAGCCTCTGGACAGTCAGACATGTGGCTGTGTCCCAACGAGGATGTGACCAGTCGTGACCAGCAGAGACCTTCTTTTATCTTCCTGAGGCTTCTGCTCTGCTATATACCCTTGCCACTTTTTATCCTCCAGTGACATGAGTAGTTAAATTATTGTCTCTGAGCCTCTGAAATGAGTCAGAACTGGACATTGATTAATGCCTCCAAGGGCATTTTGAGCATTAGGCCAAAAATTTATTCTTCATTTTATTTCCCTTGCAAACCATAACCACATCCTCCAACCCAGCTCACCAGGAAAGATGATTCAGCTAGCTCAAATAGGCCTTTATGAATATGTGAAATTTTAAACTCCTACATTAAAAAAAAAAACAAAAAACAGATTTTGAAGATAATTGCATTTGAAGACCATTACTGTGGGTAGGGGGTAATATTAATGGTTTTGGGTCAGGATATTATCCCAAGAGCTTTTGGAACGAATGTAACATAAGTTGCTTCTTATGTAAATGGAGTAAATACATCTGAGGAGTCCACTCATGGGGAGAAAAGCCAGTTTTACATCAAAATGTCCTCGGTGAAGCAATAATAATGATCAATTTTATTAAATCTTGACCTTTAAGTACATGCGTTTTTTGTTTTTTTGTATTTTCAGTAGAGACAGGCTTTCTTCATGTTGGCCATGCTGGTCTTGACCTCTTGACCTCAGGTGAGCCACCCAACTTGGCTTCCCAAAGTGCAGGATTACAGGTGTGAGCCACTACGCC